CTCATTATTAATATGACTTAAAAACAATAAAAACCCATTACACTTTTTAGTGTATCTAATAATAATAATAATAATAATAATAATAATAATAATAATAATAATGTAGAAAATATATTTCAAAGATGTTTCCAAAACACACAAAGGTATACTCACTTTGAAATAATAAAAATTAAGTTACCATGGTAGTAGTCTACTTTTTAATCAGAATAAAAAAGCAAAAAAGAAAAAGAGAGAGAGAGACAAGGAGGGGGGAAGGAGAGAGAGAGAGAGAGAAAATCAACAACTTGATAGAAGAGTTTAAAATGAATGATGAATACTAATTATAGAAATGTGATTTTAATCTGTTGAATTTAAATAAAGATATAAAAATCATTAAGTATTTAGAAGAATTTTATCTTTAATTTCTTTGATCTACCTGTGTGTATATGTGTGTAATAGGGGGGGGGGTGGAATTATAGAAATTACTAAAGACCAAATTTATAAACTGTTTAATCATAATTCATTGATCTCAAGTTTATCCATTGATTACAAGGATCTAAAGGTTTTGTGTTTGATAACCGGAGTTTCATGATTGTCTATCGAAGATCAATCCCTAATATAGATTATCAAATTACATTGAATTGTCTATTATAAATGTTGTTTAATCAATTAACAAGAAATTAGTTACAAAACTTAAGTAGTATATTGTGGAGTCTAGTGTGAAGCGCGTTTCGTCCTATTTGGAACTCTTCAGCTGGATGTACGTGCATCCCAGAGTTGAGGTTCACTCTGGGATTCGAACACAGCAACTTCCGCTTCAAATGCTATCGCGTTATCCACTTGGCTACTGAGTCCTGATAGCCACCTGGATTCCAATGCTAATCACTTTCCATCTTTGCTTAAAAAGCTTGTGACTTAAGGCTATATCGATGTAATTCACACACGATGCACATATATCAACATGGGACTGATCAATTGTAGTCCTAAATAACAATGGGAATATATAAGTAAAACAACACCAAGTGAATTTAAGTAGTATACAGTTATTTTATCGTAGTTCGAGATGGTATGACTCATCGTAATGTCATACTTGTCTGTTTCTAATCTCATTTTGTACAATGAATGTAAGTAATTGTTATAAGGAACTGACAATTACTAAATAATTGTAAGTAGTCAACAGGAAACTATAGATCTAAGTTTCTTACTAGTTAGCACGAGTCAGAAAGGTTTACTCATATTTTTTTTTCAGGGAACGGATAATTCCTATGGGATTCGAGACTATTTCACTAAGTTCCATGGTCTGAGATGTTACCATCTAATTATCCGATCACTGATTGACCTTCTATACAATGAAACATATACATAAGCTCCTCTAAGATTAAGAAATTAGACTGGATCAATATCCATCAAAACATTATTAGAATGGGCATTTGTAGAGATTTTAGTAATTTTAATAGTTGAATATCTGAGGTTTTCATATCCTCACTAACGACTAAATTCAACATGGATTTACTGCAGTTCTAGTCAGAAACTGTGACTAGTGGAGTCCAGTCCGTTTTGACTGGAGACAGTTATCTAATTCAAACAATGAATGAATGATTAATTGAAGTTAGATATTGACACCGTTAGATGCCGGTTCTGTGGTCTACAGGTTAAGCGATGACACACGAGACCAACGGTTTTATGTTTGATTACTTTTACTATGGTTTCGTGTATGCTCACTACTGAAGAGTCTTATACTAGGACGAACGTATCGTCCAACGCCTTCTGGTTTTCAGTGTTGGTCTAGTTTATATCGAATCATGAATTCAACTGTTAAAATTACTATAATCTCCGCAAATCCCCATTCTCATAAATTCAATTTGTTCAAACGTGATCACAATCAGAGATAATGTATTTTTGAGTATGCTAAATGATTGTATATTTTGGTGGAAAAGAGTATGTACCTAAACATATTGAGTATATATTTTCGGTAAAGAGAAAGCACCATAATCGTTTTAATATTAACTAGAAGTTATTTCTCAGAATTAGACATCAGCGAGTACACAACAATTATCAGTATAGCTTCCTGCGGAGGGCGGTATAGAGACTGTTGTAGCACAGTAGTTGGTAAAATCCTACATGACTTGATATATTGCGATTAGTTTTACATTGATATAATTATTATCCTATGAATAGGTCTATAGTTAGTCACATAACACTGCGAACTAGTATAAATAGTAAGAATCTGAGACGATTTTATTAAAAATAACATCGCTCCAAGATTAAGTTTTGACTACGATTTCCGATTAAAATAATAATTCCATGCGTAGTCGATTGTTTGCCTTACATTTTGAGACTTGTTTACAATGTTAACTATGTGGAGAGTTTGCAGAAAATATTGTTCACTCTCGATTACTCAGTACATTAGTCACAACATAGAAACTGCTACGTATATACATCGATTCAAGTTGCTACACCTCATTAAAACAGCGAGATGAAGCTGTTAAAACAAATCCCAGAATAGTAGATGTAGTAACAAGATTAGTGGTATTACATAAGATTAGGTATCGAAGACCGAGACAAAAATTTATAGACGAACCAATCAGATTTAAAATAACAGATCTTGAATTTGGTGTGAAACTCATTCATCCATTTAGCTAAATAGCATTTTGTCATTATAGCTTATGTCAACTCGTGATAAAAACCTTAAATCTAACTCAACTCTAACGTCTAGCTGTAAAATCTAACCTTGATTCCTAACATAATCCAGTAAGTGGACATTCTCAAGGTCAATGTACCATTACTCAAAAGTTATTCATAACTTATTGTCTCACCAATATACCTGTAATTTTGAAGAAACCAATGATTCAAATCCCTATCACTCCTTTTCACAGTCCGAGATTTTGCAATTAAACTATTCAGGTCAGAAACTAACCAAAGTTTCTAAATCACTCACTGATCTTGGAAAACTAGAAACCAGTGAACATCTGTTTCATCTTACTGTGTGACTCCTTAGTAAAAGGCAAACACCACCTCGACACCAGGGATCAAACCTAGAACTGTGGGTCTTGTGATTACCCTGGAATCCTCACTATACTAATAATATATCATTACCAATTCATTTTTTTCAATAGAATTTTCTAAACTACTGTATTATTTCAAAGATTGATTAACAGTCAATTCATTTCCCTCTCCTCATCAATATAGAATTATCGATTAATATTTGTTATCAGTATTGCGGCTGTGGAGACCATTACGTTTTTGACTGAGATCACTAGCCGATTGATTTTAGACCACCATTGAAAACCTGGAAGCACTTGATGGCGGTTACGTCCTATTGCGGGACTCCTCAGCAGTGCGCATCCACGATCCCACTCGAGGGATTCGGACCTATCAATCGGTTCGTGGCCTCAACCAAAAACTTAATAATTTCCACAACCCCTATACAGATAATTATCATGTGCTCACTTGTGACTAGCTTCGTGAGGGAATTCTCGGAGTTCTAGTGAGAAGCTGTGACCAGTGGAGCTAATCCGTGTCGGTTAGAGATAGGTATCTACCTCAGTACAATGGAAGATGGTCGCGCAATTTGGTGGATTGGTTAAAGTTAGACATTAACACCGTTGGATGACGGCCAGCCCAGTGATTTAGTAATTTAAGTGCTCGCGCGCAAGACTGAAGGTCCTGGGTTGGAATCCCACGAGCGGGATTGTAGATTCCCGCTGCTGAGGAGTCCCTCAATAAGATGAAATGGTCATCCAGTACTTCCAAGTTTTCAATGGTGATCTAACATCAATCGGTTCGTGATCTCAATCAAAAACGTATTATTTGTTAACTTTAATGCCTTATTCAATCTGAAAGTCGTGACTTGATGGGACTTGACATTTTCGTTGTTTATTGTAATATGAAATCGACTACTTGATCTCTGTTTATAAATGACTGCATTTTATGGAATTATCAATTCAACATTGTCACAGTGTGAATACTAGCACTGAGTTGTAAAGATACATTCAACTGATGAGTCGCAAGCAAGACGAAGTGCATATCCTAGATTTTACTATTAATCATATACCGAATACACCAATACTTATAATGATTATACTGAGGCATTTGGTACAAGATACAAAAAAGGCTGATCAAAATACTGTCTTGACAATCAACAACGGGTTAATTAAAATCGTTATTAATCAGTTCATACCTACTGAACTCAATAACTTAATGAATAACACATTATATGTTTAAAACGATTGTCTATGCAAAATACTTCGGATCCGTTGGCAGGACACTATTAGCAACAACCAACTGTGGGAAAGAACAAGCCAGATCCCAGCGGAGGAAGAAGCGCTGGAAGTGGATAGGACACACATTGAGGAATGCACTCAACTGCGTCACAAGACAAGCGCTCACATGGAAATTTCAAGGTCAAAGGAAAAGAGGAAGACCAAAGAACACATTACGCCGGGAAATGGAGATAGACATGAGAAGAATGAACAAGAATTGGATGGAACTAGAGAAGAAGGCCCAGGACAGAGTGGTTTGGAGAATGATGGTTGGCGGCCTATTCTCCATTAGGAGTAGCAAGCGTAAGTAAGTAAGTATGTTTAAAATGAAAGATACTGGATTCGAATCTCAGTGTAGATCTGAAAGAAGACTAACTTCTACTACTAACCACATATTCATAACATCCTTATACCATTGGTTTACTTTATCAAGAAGTAGATATTTCATATTCAATTTATCATTTAACCATCATAAATCATTGATCACAGGTTTGGGGCATGAATCAAAAATGTTAATAAAATGACTATAAACAATAATTAAAACAAATGACAGACATTTTTTTCACCGGTTAAATTGAATTGTCAAGGTTAAATTTTAAAAAGACAAAACAAAAAACAAAAAAAAAGTAATTGAAGACGTACAAGACATAAAAAAGTACCAAACGGTAAATGAAAAGAGAGAGATCAACTTGTTGTTATGAAAATGTACCGGATTTAAATAAAGTTGATCAGAATAATAATAATAATAATTAAAATAGATCAAAAATGTGAATTACTAATCAATAAATGATCAATTGTTGCCATAGTTACCGGTTCATCATTTACAATGAAATAATTGAATGAATTATCGTAGTTATGAATTTCACAGGGGAAACTATGATCATTATCATTACTATTATCCGTAGTACTAACATTATCATTATTATTATTACTACAAGTAGTATTACTGTTAGTAGTAGTAGTAATAGTAATAGAACTATTACTAGTTCTAGGTAAACATTCTTCGAAATTATGATGTTTAGCATTGTCTATCGTTAGATCTGGTTCAAATTGACCGATTTGTTCCTTTGATGATGATGATGACGATGATGATGATGGTAATAATGAAGAGTTGTGTAAATACGGATTGGACCAGTTGGTTGTTTCTTCTAATAGATTCTGATTAAAAGTGAATTCGTCATTTTGTTGTTGGTGTTGATGATTATGATGAGGCGGAGGTGGATGGTTGTAATGAGCATCGTCTACTTGTTCTTCTCCTTCTTCTTCGTTATCATCATCATCATCTTCTTCTTCTTCTTCATGTAAACTGTTTTCATTAACATTTTCATGTACATCGTTAATTCCTTGAACTATTCCATATTTATCTGATTCATTAGAACAATTCATATTAATTGGTTGATGCATATTTGAATTTAACATGAAATGATAATAATTAAATGATTTCTCAATATCGTATTCATCCTGATTCATAAATTCCATAGTTTCATTCAATCTCTCTTCTGTCCGGTGATCATTCATATCATTCATTGACCATTGAACAGTCGGTTGCTGCTGCTGTTGTTGTTGTTGTTCGTGATAATGTTGTCGATTATTTGAATTGAGACTTTCCATAGAATAATTATTGACAGACTTTGTAGAATAAGTAGTATTATTATCATTATTGACATCATTAATACTACTATTAGTAATTGTACTAGTAGTAGTGATAGGATCATGTAAAACTATTTGATCTGACATTGATAAACATGGATTAGAATAATAATAGTAATAATAATAATGATAATGATAATCATCTATATAAGTTGGTTGTTGTAGTGTAGAATGACATATTTCTTCATTTATATCATTATCATTAAACTGTACTGGATTACTCTCTTCATGTTCACGGTACATTGAATTGATATATACACTTTGAGGATATTCATTATATGATGATGATACATTTTTAGATTTATCTAAATATGAACAATTATTGTATTGTATAAAATATGATTCACTACAGTTTACATTTGGATTAGATGTGATCTGATGATAAGATTCTCTTAATGGATTACATTGAATAACTTCAGTAGGATTTGATAAGATTTGTTTACTTAATGATGTAGATACATTTGTAGAACATAAAGACAATGATGTTAATGATAATGCACAAGTGGTACAATTGGAATAAGTAGATGAAGATGACAAAGAGGAACTTGATAATACAGATGGTGATAATGACCAATTAGGTGATGAATATATGGTAGAGATCATAGTATTTGTCATATAATTACTTGAATTATGATTAGTTGATAAATAACTATCTAAATCTTGTATACAATTCCAAAATGGTAATGATGAATGATGTTGATTCATTGTTGTTATGGTTACTGATGATGCAGATGATGATGATAATGTTGTTGTTGTTGTAAAAAGTGGATCAGAATAATAAGAATGATTCATTGTATTCATCTCAGTAGTATTGTACTGTTCTTTTTCCATTGATTGATTCAAGCTTGAATCAATTTGATTTATTATTTCATTATTCCATGAATTATTATTAGTGATATTTATTGCATAACAATTATGAACTGTATCACCATGATATGGATCATCACAGAAAATTTGTTCGTTATCATTTTCATTAGTTTTAATAGGAATTTTAAATTTGTTAGTTTGATCTGATCTTGTATTCTGTTGAACTACAAGGAATATAAATAATAATAATAATAAAGATTTATGGTAAATAAGTTGTTAAAAAGACAAATATATATAGTGTGGTGTATGCCACCCTCGCCTAAAGAAAACGGGGGTGTTGTTTATGAGACTGAGAAGACGAAAAGTGAATGTCTTAAGCTTTAACCGGGTTGGTGGGTATGAAGGATCCAACTAGGGTAGTTGGCAAACCGTCATTTCAAACCAGGGGTGATTAAGGGCTCCAGGATCCTGAAAGAACAAATGGCGTATGAACCAATTGTTGGTGATTTCATCGACTACCATAGGAGTGCACCTCCTGAAGTTGCGCCACTGCCTTTTGGGTCATACCTTTAGTTCGAAGGCTCAGAGAGTTGCCCCTTTAGAAAACCACCTGTTTTGATTTGGGCACCAGGGCAGTATATCAGCCCTCACACAAATCGAATGATTTATGTGACGCATATGTATTTGGTGCCTCGTTTTAACAAGGTTTATGGGTTCAAATAAATAAATAAATAAATAAGTATGTAACACCGCTCAGAAGCGAAATGCCTGACTGTAGCAGATTGAGAAGACTGAATTAAAGAGAATGGGAATGCAAACAGAGAGTAATTGTAATAGTAATGTAAGAATGACAAAGTTTGAGACAGTTCATGGAAGATTTACAAATGATGTATTTGGTGTATAGTTATTCACATTTTATGAATAATAAATTGATTGTTCCCATCTAAGTTCTCGTTCATTACAATAGTTGAAGAAGTTTTGACTTAATTTGTAGACTGAATTCATTGATGAATAAGTGTTTAAGGTGTAAGAAATGAGGTTCGAGTGCCAGTGTGAATAACAAATCCTAGATACAGACGGATACATACAACTGAACAGTCCCATATAGGACGAAATAATAATTTTGAGTCCCATTGTCACCCAGCTTCACAATCAGAGACGTCACCACTTAGCTATCCGGGCTGCGATTGACCTTCTGTAGGACTGATATGTATTCACAATTGATTGATCACTGGATAGTGGGTAAGCAAAGACATGTGTGTCAGATCCTTGATATAATGGAAAGAAAAGTCGATTTTTGATTGATTTACTCATTATGAGTTTTGGTTCAATATTACATCCGTTTTGATTCAATGTGATGATCATTCAATGTAGTATTTGTTTTCTTTTCTCGTATGATATTTTATTCTGTATAATATACGATATTCTTGTATTAAAACTGACATGAACTATTTGGCTTGTATCTTCCCATTGAGGTTTCAGACTGCAATTGATCAGTCTGTTATTAGCATATGGGCATACTGTGAGTATGCCTCGATATTACCTTAATTCACAAGCTTACAAAAAGCCTGTGTCAATAACAGATTGATCAACTTCAGTCTGAAACCTTAGTGGGAAGATACAAGCCAAACAATACCAAGTCAATTTAAATTCACCCCGTTGCACAAGCAAGTGGCTATCAGGACTCAGTAGCTGAGTGGATAATCCAATGGCGTTTGAAGAGGACGGTACTGGGTTCGAATCCCAGAGTGAACATCAGCTTCGAAATGCAGATACATCCAACTGAAGAGTCCCAAACAGGACGAAACGTGCGTGTTGGATTCCACTGCTAGCCACTACTCATCATTGCTTACAAAATGACATGAACTATGCTTATCATGTGGTTTGTTGTAACTGTATTTTTTATATATGTGATTTCATCCTAATTATTAATCTAAGTATGTGTACAATCAGTATATATAAATGAGTATATTTTCGACTAAGGTTCTCGTCGAAACTGTCTGGAATAACATTCCTTTCAGTAGTTTTCTGTCTTCTCATTGCGACTTGGAAGGATTCTAGCGTTCTAGTGCTCAAGTTACACGCATTATATCAAGAATATAAGCATCTAGATATAACAATTAGAGACAAGGTGAAAAAATTCTGAACCCTCAATCTTCAATATAAAGTATCATGATCAGCTTATAATTGGACGAAATTCAATGTAATTATTTCAAGCAATCAACATACAGATTTTTTGTTGTCGTTGTCGTATTTTTGGTGGGTTAATAAATCTTCACTTATACCAGTTTTGTGTTCTTATTTTCACTTCATGGGAATTACAGAAGTTCCTCGTTTTCGAGTATAAATGATAAGTGCTTCCGACACAACAATCATTGACGACCAGGTATAAAGAAATAGCATTAAAGGTGTCAAGAAAATCATTTATTTTTATTTATTTTAACACACAGATATTGGTACAAGGAGGCACCAAACACATATACGCCACACTAATCTCATTCGATATGTGTTAGGGATGTGATACTGCTCGGGTGCCCAAACCGAAGCAGGTGGTTTCATTAGGGGGCTAATCCCCGAGCCTTCGACCTGAAGGTCTGATCCACAAGGAAGTGGAGCATCGTGAGGAGATGCATTCCCATGGTAGCCGGTGACCAATAATTGGTTCATACGCCATTTGTTCCTTCAGGATACTGGAGCCCATGTGCACCATTGGTTTGGAATCTGGTTAAAGCGTCGAACATTCGCTTTTCGTCCTCTCATTTTCGTAAACAACACCCCTCTTACGAGAAGGCAGTGAGTAGGAAATCCCTGGTGGAGGCTATATACGCGTGGCCATGCGAGAGCATTTCGAGAGGGAGGGCGAACCCACCCCACTCTCGGCCGTACCAGGGCATTTAGGGACCAAGATAATCAGCATTCAATTGACAAGTTATAACATGAACAAGATAATAACATTACTAGTTTCAGTGACTTGATATTGTGTTCACTATCTTGAGATAAGATGATAGTTTGAAGTAGTCAAACAGAAAACCCTGAACTTGGTTGTCTCAGTTATCTCTATCTAAATTATTCAACATTATATTACATAGATACAAATAAATCTACTTACTTTTTCGATTTCTTTTTATATCACCGGGTGTACAATTAGATTCATTCGATAATTTTTTATAATAATTTTCACATTTCTGTTGTTTCTATAAAGGAAGACATTTTAATAAGTAGTATATGTAAACTTTTAATAAAATAGATTGATCACATTAAACACTTTTTTAGAAAAAACAAAGGACCGCGCCAAGTTCATTTAATCATTAAAAATATTTTCAGAAGGGGTTTGTGGCGATTTTGGAAATTTCACTGATTGAAATCATGAGTCAATTGAAGCTAGATCACCATGGAAAATCTGGAAGCATTGGACGGCCGTTTCATCCTAGTATGGGACCCTTCAGCAGTGCGCATCCACGATCCCGCACTCCGAAAGATTAGAACCCAGGTTTTCCATGGTAGTCTAGCTTCAACTGTCTCATGATTTTATTCTGTGAAATTAAAATTATTTCATATATTTTCCAATAATGTAATCATTTCCATAATCTCTTCTATATATTCATAGTTATAGTGTACTTCAACGGAAACTCTTTCAGGAGTTCTATTCAGAGAACAAAAATGATTATCTTAACCAGTACAGTTCAACTGCATTCGATATTGATCAATTACCTACAAATGATGGGGTGTATACTATTTATGTTGGTAAATATAAGTAGTATGTAACATCAATGGGAAATGGAAACCCATGACATCAGAAGACTAAGAATATCAAATTGAAGAGAATAGAATACAATGTCGAAAAGAATTATGAATGGGAAGAATCATACATTATGTGAAAGACAATTAATGAAAGATTTGTAAATGAAGTATTCAATGTATAGTTTTCATATTTTACAAAGACATTCGATAATTTTGTATCGAAATACATTGATTGTTTCCATTTGTGTTCTTGTTCATTACAATGATAATAATGATGGCTCATTATCGTGAACTGATGTAAATTAGAAATATAAACTATTCAATGTCAACTTAATCGTTTAAAAGGTTGAACTCTCATCGATATTTCTAAACACTTTGACTTTTATCCCTGGTTTAATCATAGATACATACTATTGAGTACTTTTCTTTAATACTAGGATAAAATATCTATTCAATACATCCTGGTTTCCAATAATTATCTAATTCATTTCAATATAGATTAATCAGTAATCTAACAATTCACAATGATATACTAGGACGTAATGACCATCTAGTTGTCATCCAGATGTTCAAAGATGGTTTAACATTGATCGGTTCATAATCTCAATTATATCTCAATAATCATACAAATTAAGAGTGGGAAAGCAGCGGGACATGGCAATATATCAGTTGAAACACTGAAATCAAACATAGAAGTAATTGTAAACATGCTCCACGTTCTACTCAGGAAGATTTGGGAGTAAGAATAAGTGCCAATGGACTGGAAAAAAGGATGCCTCATCAAGATACCAAAGAAAGGAAATCGGAGGAAATGTGAGAACTACTGAGGCATCACACTAACATCAGTACAACAAAAAGGTTTCAACAGAGTGTTGCTGAACCGGATGAAAAATTGAGTAGACGCTCAGCTTTGAGATAAACAGACCAGATTCTGTAAGGATCAGTCGTGCACAGACCAAATAATTACATCACGGATCACCGTTGAACAATCAGTTGAGTGGAACTCGTCATTACACACCGATTTCCTTGACTATGAGAAGGAGTTTGACAATGTGGATAGGAAACATTTGTGAAACTTTCTTCAACATTATAGTGTAGTTGTGAGGATCGTCAACATCATACGGAACTCATACGACGAACTACAGCGCAAAGTCGTCCACGGAGCATAGCTGACAGATACATTGCAAGTGAGGACCGGTGTTAGACAAGGCTGCATATTCTATTTAATTTACTGGTGGTTGACTGGATTATGAAAATCTTCACATGTGAGGAGAAGCACGAAATACAACAAACAGTTCAAAATCAATTACATGGTTTGGACTTCTCAGATGAACTTGCTGTTATACCGCACACACACCTAAAAATAAAGGTGAAGACAACAAGTGTATCAGAAGCTTCTGCATCAATAGGCCTCAACACACACCAAGAAAAGAGCAATATCCACAAATGCAGCATAGTGAACACTAACCTAGTCACACTTGATGGAGAAACTCTGAAGGATGTGGAAACGATGAGGTTCCTCGAAATCATCACTGATGAACAAAGAGGATCCGATGCAAACGTCAAGGCGAGGATTGGCAAATCAAGGGCAGCATTCCTACAGTAGATGGACATATGGAACTCAAAACTACTGTCAGTCAACATCAAAGTCAGAATCTTGAATACGAACATCTAGTCAGTTATACTGTACGAAGCTGAAACTTAGAAAACTACTACAAGCATAATCAAAAATGAACATGTATTTATAAACAGTTGTTCATGCAAGTTACTCAAAGTCTACTGACCAGATGTCATCAGCAACAACCCACTGTGATTGAGGACAGACCAACTTCCAGATGAAGAGAAAATTAGGAAAAGACGTTGAAACTGGATAGGACATACATTATGAAAACCATCAAACTACATCACGAATCATTCCCTAACTTAGAATTCGGAATAGAAACAATAATGAAGAAAACCACAGAATACGTTGTGCCGAGAATGAGAAGTAGACATGAAAATAATGAATAGTAACTGGAAACAGCTGGAGAAGATTGCTCAGGACAGAGTTTGATTCAGAATGCTATTGAATGGTATATACTCCTCCGCGAGAGGTAACAGTTGTAAGTAAGTAAGTGAAAAGTGAATTCAAAATTAGACAATACCATATCATTATTATACCAAATCAGTCCATTTAATTTACTCAAGTAGTCGATTGATTTGTATTCATGGGTTTTGCGATGTTTGGTTTGTATTTCTGATTTCATCATATATTATGTGGTAGTTTAAACAGTAAACAAAAGCCAGCTGATTACAGATTTACACGCATCTCGTATTCCCATTATTCCAGTGTTTTTGTAACAGTTTACCATATTGTCAGTATCTACTAGGATCATCGGGTAAATAGTGGTGAATTTAGATGTAGGGTACTAAGTAATAATGGTAAATCAGTTGATGAGAATGTGAATCTTCATCAACTGAGATGGTTGGGCTACGTATTATGTATGCCCAGATACCGATTGTCACGACACGCAATACTGAAAGTTAGAGGTGGCCAAACCAAAGTGCGGCATCAGTCTTTGAAGTCACTAACTTCTAGTCTGAGCCATGTTGACAGTTGTCAACTACTTGGTTAGGGTTCTTACGACTATCATAACCAATGGTTGGAGAGAATGAGTGAGCAATTAAGTAAGTAAACAATCTTCAAAATCTCACTTAGTTATAATTCACAATAGTGACTTACTTTTAAATGTGTATTTGTTAACTTTTTTTCACGACGTATTACTTTTCTATTTGTAACACGTTTACTTACATGCTTCGTTTTATTTAATGATAATAAATGAGAATTATCTAATTGTGAATGATTTGATGATTGATAATTATAATAATTACAAAATTCATTTGATAATGTGAAATTCTGTTGATCGATTATTGATTGTTCATATTGTGGAAGAAATCGATAGTCCTGACATCCCTGTTGTGGTTGTGATTGTTGTTGTGGCAACTGGTCATGAAGATAAGGATTTTGACTATGAATATATTGAATATTGTTATTATTATTAGTAACATGATTCAAATTTCTATCAATATCCGGTAATATTGGTGTTGTTATTCCTGTAACTAGTTTATCCACAGTAGTAGGAGTAATTGTTGTTGTAACATTAGAATTTATTGTATTTGTGGTAGTATTAGTGAAAACTGTATCAGATTCAGTTAAACCGAATGTTTTCAATGATGGACGATTATGATCATGTTCACCTTTTGCTTCAAAATAAACGGCACCATTAGCAAAACGCCAAAAATGTGTCACAGGATAACCGCTATGACCACGACAATTACGTAGAATTAAACGACCTTTACAACCAGGTGTAATACATTCACGATCTGTGAGAATGAAAAAAAAAAGAAAAGTTAACTGTGTTTTTTTTAATACCTTTTGTTCAATTGTATGAATAATATTTCTTAGACAACTGTTTCTACCCTAATATGTCACTCCTTAAAAGGAGTTCTTACCGACGACTTCTCATCCGGAAACCGAACTCATGTCTTTTAGTCTTATGTGCAAACGTTTAATTTCTAAACCAATCATGTACAAATTAAACTTCAATCAATCTATTACATCACAAAACCACCTCCGATTTTCTTCAGTGAGTACTTTGTTTACACTCAAAACCAAAAGTTCTGGGTTCGATTCTAGTTCGTAATTCAAATTCGAATTTAGGTAATTGTTTCTGAACAAAAAACAAACAAATAATTGAATTATTGATTAATAAATAAAGAAAATATAATTACCCTTAATTAACAATTTAATCAATATGATCGAAATGAACTCAAATTTGTTATCCCACCTTACTTTATTATTTCTCTTCATTTCTCTTGAATGCCTTATACCCCTACTTACCTGTCTGTCCCCCCTCTTAACGATAGTTAATTATAATTATTATGAGAACGTGCCTTTTTTTTCTTTCATTCAATTATTTTCCACCTTAATTTCTTTTTTTTCTTTTTTATAATGCGGATAAAAAAACGGAAAGACTGATCATAATGTGATATATATATATATATATATATATATATATATATATATATATATATATATAGGTGTGTGTGTGTGTATGTTGATACGCATGTCTGGATTGAATCCCTTGTCTACTACTTATGTTTACCTAGTTATATGTTTTCCATATATTTGTCGGGGTCGGAGCGGGGGGAGGAGGGATAATATATATCTGTCAGCCTTATTAGATAATAGGTGTATACGTGACACAAGTATGCACTATTATATACGTAATCAATTATGGACAATATTTATGGGTTTTGCGTGAAGTTTTCTTGAAATGACCAATTTTTTCTTTCAAAAAAATATAACTACTACTGATAAGGAATATATTTGTAATGTTATATACCTAAATACATAAATATATATGCACAATAATATGCAGTAAATATCCATGATTCATATTTACGTAAATAATTGTTTCAGAAGTGGTTTAGCGGGTATTATAGCCATTTTAATAGCTGAGATCATCAGTTAATTGAAGCTAGACCATCATGGAAAGCCCGAAAGCATTAGACAGCCGTTTCGTCCTATTATGGGATTTCAAGTCCTACTCACTGCTTTCTCGTGGCGGGGAAGTTGTTTACGAAAATGAGAGGACGAAAAGCGAATGTTCGGCGCTTTAACCGGATCCCAAACCATTGATGCACATGGGCTCCAGTGTCCTGTGGGAACAAATGGTGTATGAACCGATTGTTTGTCACCGGTTACGATGAGACTGCATCTCCTTACGTTGCTCCACTGCCTTGTGGATCAGACCTTCAGATCGAAGGCTCGGGAAGGGGCCCTCTAAGGAAACCACCTGCTTCGGTTTGGACACCCGAGCAGTATCACAACCCTCACACATATCGAATGATATTTGTGTGGCGTATATGTATTTGGTGCCTCCTTGTACCAAGATTCGAACCCAAGACCTATTTGTCTCGCTCGCGGACGCGTGTCAATTCTAGATTATTATGCTTAATTAAAGAGTTTAATAAAAATTTGGAAAATATTTAGATAAACAGTAACTAAATTGAATAGGGATTTGTAGAGATTGTAATAATTTTAATAGTTGAATATGTGAGTCAATCTAAGCTAGACCATCATTGAAAATATGGAACTAGTGGACGGCCGTTTTATTCTAGTATGAAACTTCTCCACAAATCCCCATTCTGATAATAATCATGTGTCTACTAGTGATTAGCTCAACATGGATTTACTGTGGTTCTAGTGAGAAGTCGCAACCCGTGTAGGATGGAGATAGTCATCCACCACAAACAGTAGATGAGTGATTGCACAATGTCATGGGTCGAATGAAATTAGACATTAACACCGTTGGATGATGATTCAGTGGTTTATAGGTTATGTGATGTCGCACGAGACTGACGGTTCTGTTTTGAAGTTCCTTTGTTGTGTTATCATGTATGCTCAGTACTGAGTAGTCCCTGAATACAACGAAAGGGCCATCCAATACTTGAAAGTTTTCAATGGTGGTCTAGTTAAAATCGACTCATAAATTCAACTATTAATCATATTTAATCTATTTGTATTCCAAAAAGTACACAGAAAGAGTAAATAATAGCTTAATTGTAATTTTGCAAAAGTAAAACAACAATCCAGTCTACTCAAATTTGATATTTTATCAAAAGGTCTTAGTACATTTGGATAGAAACTAGGAGTGGAATTCATGGGTTGTATTTCATACTAAGATTTTTCACTTGGATGTATCCAAATCCTAGTGTTGAAACTTGAACCCAATTCGTTTGGCTTCAGATATTTGACATGTTGTCCACTGAGCAATTGAGAACAGACAATCTCTAAGATATATGTACACATTCAAATGAGGTATCAGACTAAAGAAGATATGTTCCTTAAATTTCATTATCTAGAAACAAATGATGAATTGTCCAGTCATCCAGCAAGTGTATAGTGTTCAAAGTATATCAATTCAATATTAGAAGTATACGACATTTAATACTACTTGAAAATAACTGTATATGTAGTTAGAGAAGTATTCAGTCAGTTTGCTCATTTAGATGTATCTAAAATGAATCAATTATCCTCACTGACATTAGATGATCATTATACCATATCATAAGTTGATTGTATCAGTAGATGCTGACCCAGATATTTTAATGGTTGGAAATCCACCAATAAAACTAAAAGTTTTAGGTTAAATCTCTACTGGAGTCTTTTGTATGCATTGTTGAAGAGTTATATTCGTGGACGAAATATTCGTCCACTTCTGCATGGTTTTCATTGGTTGTCTAGCTACTGTCAATCCTTGATCTAAACTATGTTTCCAGTCGTGTTATATAGTATGACTATCATACTATGTCATTGATCAGTTACTGTTTTAACCATAACATAATTCATCTTTCATGAGACAGTTTTCAATTGGACTCTCATTCTCTCTCTCCAAATTGATCTCGGAGGTAATAATTATCAGTCAACACATAGCCATTCATTACCAATTTTTCTTCTGTAAAAGTGTTCTGTATAGCATGAAAGCAGTTTTCGTTAGTTCCAAAGGGTTTTACATCACGATGATGTCAGTTCATAATGGAAATTATACTTTTTTATACTCTTCATACTAATCAAATTTTAACCGATAAGAACCACCTATTGATCTTAATTGTTGTACCACTGCAAATCATAAAACATTAGACTACTATTTCATCCCATTATAGAACATCACATAATTGTGCATATATATCTTCGGTAAAAATTGAACTCAAAACATTTAGGTCTTGAGGAAATGCTGCTGTCAGTGTCCAGTGTTATAACATTAGTCAGAACAAAACAACTGTCCAATGATCTATAGTTCCAAAGGTATTCCAATTCTTATGAATCTATCAGTATGGGGTTGAGGAGATTGTTAAATTTTTGATCGAGATCATGAATCGATCAATGCTCTACCACCATTGTGTAACCAAGAGAGTCTCATACTAGGACGAAATGACCGTCTGTTGCTTCCAGCTTTTCATTTTTACATTGTATTTATGACAGATTCATGTGATTGAGATTATGAATCGATCAATGTTCAACAGAAACCCTTTAATGAAAGATAAAATTCAATTAATCTAAGAACACTAACCTCATAAAAGACAATCATCATGACCTTAGTAACAAAGTGAAAAATGAAAAATTCCTTTTCTGTTATCGTTGATATAAGTAACTTACTACATTGTTTTTTTCTTGCTTTATCACATATAGCTGGACGTAGACTTAATGGTTTACCTTGTACCATACAATTCATTGAACATTCTAATACACCAAGACATGATTTTTTTAATACTTGAGGATTATGATTATTTGTATTACGCATAGCCCAACCACTTTGATGTCGACGTGCACGTTCACATGTTTGAGCATAAACACGTCTACAATGACCAGTTGGCCATAATTCATATGAATCATAATAATTAACCTAGAAAAATAAATGATATAAAAATGCATTATCAGAAGGGGTTTGTGGAGATTTTAGTAATTTCAATAGTTGAAATCATGAGTCAATTGAAGCTAAACCACTATAGGAAACCTGGAAGCACTGGATGGCTGATTCGTCCTAGTATGGGACTCCTCAGCAGTGCACACCCACGATCCCGCACCCCGTGAGATTCGAACCCAGGGCCTATCAGTCTCGCGGTAGGCGCTTAACCACCCAGACCACTGAGCTGGCCGGCATCCAACGGTGTTAATGTCTAACTTAAACCATACTAGGACGAAACGGCTGTTCAGTGCTTCCAGGTTTTCCATGGTGGTCTAGCTTCAATTGACTCATGATTTCAATCTATAAAAATGGATTGTTGGTTTGTTTCGTTCTTAAATTTCTCCCTTAAAAAAAGTATATAGAACAATTGTATCGTAACTCATCATAAATGGACAGGTTCATAAACCTATAACGGATAGGATTTTAGAGAACATACATTGTAATCTAATCACATAGTAAGTATAGGATGATAATTGATGTGAACAGAGAAACAAGAAGTCTTAACAAACTTTTGAAGCTATTTTTGAGGGACGTTATTTCATTTCATTCAAAACATGTAAAACACTGACATTTATTTTTGTTTCTAGTCTATTCTACAGAAAATGAGCTTTCGTTTGATGTATGATTCACTGCCATAGCCCTTTTTGTTCTAAAACTATTGTAATTTAAAAGTATTATTCCGTACTCTATTTTCTACGCCAAACCCCAATTTTGGACATAATTATATTTTATCAGAAGGATAATAATCATCTGCTCACTAGTGACTGACTTCAAGAGATACTCCTGAAGTTCTAGTGAGTAGCCGTTACCACTGGAGTTTAACCAGGTCTGTTGTGAGATAGCAACTCACCGATGACGATGGTGGACAGTGGTGCAACTTCGTGGATTGGTTGAAGTTAGACATTATTACCGTTGAATTCTGGCCGGCTCAGTGATTTAGTGGTTAAGCGCTCACGCGTGAGACTGATAGATCTTGGTTCAAATCTCGAGAGGTGGGATCATAGATGAGTACTTCTGAGGAGTCCCATATTAGAATGAAATGGTCGTCCAATGGTTACAGGTTTTCCATGGTGGTCTAACTTGAATTGACTTATGATTTCAATCAGTGATAACTATATTTTCCTAATTATTGTAAGTTGTGGTCGGGTTAGTCATCCATTTATTCATGTATCTTTTTTACACTGATCTGAAATCGGGAAATCGGAAACCAGATCGTAATTAGGAATAAACCGAGTAGTGTTTCAGTTGAATAGCCTTCTCTCACTTGCTTGCTTGTCAGCCAATCAAGTGATAGAATAGTTTTCGTCTCTCTAACACACTTCGAACTCACGCGTACTAGATTCAAGGTTAACCCAGTCAGCCTATTGCGTCAAGATCTTAATCTAGATTAGACAAGTTATCCTAAGCACCAAAAGTGGGTAGGCAGATCAAGGACGTAACAATAATCATATATTGATTTAATTTAGGCAGCCATGAAAAATCTAAACAAGAAACACTGGATGACCAGTTTCGTCTTAGTATGGAACTTCTTGACAGTAGAAATTCCCAACTTAGTGTGAGCGAAGATATTTGACATTTGACTTATCGATTCGGGTTTGTGGAAGTGTACTGGTGAAGAACATCATACTAGGACGAAACATCAATCTAGTGTACAATACTACTAATGGTTGTTTAATTTATAGGTTCGTGATATCAATTAAATCCAGCTCATCTCCACAAATCCATACTGAGTATAGAATGAGATGTGTTTTACATGTTTAAGTTCATTTATTGATGAGACGTCATGTACAAGAAATACTGGATCAAAATTTCTTACTAGTTAATGTTTGTCAGAAAAATGAATCTAAAATCATAAATGAACTAATTCAACCTTGTGTATTTAAACCATAACTGGTCAATCTCATAGTCTAAGATATTAACAATGAATCATTCAGGCAGTGACTAACCTCTTGTAGGAGGGAACTTATGTTTAAAATTTTCTGAAAACGAATTTCACTTGGTGTTGTGTTTAGTTGAATCTTCCCATTGTTATTTAGGACTGCAATTACTCAATCTCATGTTGGCATATGTACATCGTGTGCAGATTGCCTCAGTATAGCCTTAAATCACAAGCTTTTTAAGCAAAGATGGATAGCGGCTAGCAGTGAATACCATGACGCGCGTTTTTTATCCTCTTTGGGACTCATCAGTTGGATGTACCTGAAGACTATTTTTAATCACTTAAAATTAACACATAGTGTGTGTGATCTAGAATCATTTAGATTAATGAGAAGCCAAAAGAATTCACTGGTTAGTTCTTTCCACGGAGAATAAGATCTCTCAACAGTGACAAAATTTACATCAAATCTATAAATAGTTATTTGTGGTATCCCCGCTAATGATTATTTCCATAGATCGATCCTTAGGAAATTGTATTGATAAACCCATAAATAGTGTAATATAGAGAATTACTGTATTTCACAAATGGATATAAGCTGAAATGACGACCGTTGGATTTCAGGCGCAGTTGTCCGCAAAATCATTTGTAAGTGTTTACACGTTGATGAATTGTATTCAATATAGTCAAGAAAATGTTCAATACTTTCTAATTTTCAATCTCTTTTATTCCAATCCATATTAATTCTTCACGACAGTAAAATATTTCATGTTCACGCTATTCATTGAATGACAATGCGAATGGATCATCGTTAGATAGCCATTGTAAACATGTAAGCTCTGAGTAACTGTTTCATCCTAGTCTAAGACTCCTCAATGGTATACAACTGTGACACTGCCAGGTACAGCAAATACGACCTTCACGTCTCTTGGGGAGCCCTTAGACTTCAGAAAATCGGGTTGACATAAAATAATTTATGTTTAAGTTCAATCAACTTAAGATATTGCACAATTAATATTTAATAACATTAGTGGATAACTGTCTCACTCCTGATATGGTTTGCGCTGCGAGACTTAGAGATCTATTGTTCAACCTCTGATGCACACTGTGAAGCAGCTTCATTGTGGTTCGAAACAGCTTTCCAGTGCTTGGTGTTTTTGAATAGTTGTCTAACTAAAGTAAGTCCGTAATATGAATTATGAAAATCAATCATCTCCACAGATCCTTTACATTTATTGGTATTAAACTAGAGTTTAATTTGAAAACATTTATCTAGGACTGAGATATACATTTAACTGATGAATTTTGAACAAAGAAAACGTGTATTTATGTACATCAGTAAGAAGCTAGTAATCTTTAAGAAAGATTTTAACAATCAATCTCTATGCTACTAAATACATTTATATCCAAACAATCACCAAGAGAATCCATGCAATATACACATTTTCATTCCTCAATTCTGTCTATTTATTATGAAACATGATTAGCTTCAATAATATTAGACTAAATGATATCAAAGTCTTTGAATGACTCACATACAAATCTTATGGAGGGCGATGGAACCAATTAGTTCCGTCAAGATTACCGATACACTCGGTTGATAAGTATCAACTAAGATTAAACCTAATTCAGAGTTATCTATGAACCATCTTCAATCAATTAACTACTAAATAATAAACTCTACAACATAGATATCTAATAAGGAAAGATAGATCAATTTTTCAAAATTGTATTTTACTAATAGAATGCTCATCTAATCACCTTTGGGAAATAATTTTCATATCAAAAACGGGTATTTTGTGGATATTATAGTCATTTCAATGGTTGAGATCATGAGTCAATTGAAGCTAGACCACCATGGAAAACCTGGAAGCATTGGAAGGCTGAGGAATCCCAGAATAGGAAGAAACGGCCGTCCAATGATTACAGGTTTTCCATGGTGGTTTAGCTTCAATTGACTCATGATCTCAACCATTGAAATAATTTTTAATTGAACGAAACTAGAAAATTCAAGAACACACTTGTTTAGTCCTTGTTTAGGATAATGAAACTGGTAAATTCTAGCTAATAGAATTTGATAAATCTTCTAATCGAACGCTTGACTTGGTTTTCTAAGATCTTTTAGTAACCCTCAGGCTAAATCTACACAACAACTTGAATACGAGAGAAAAGGTGAGAAATATAGGAAGAGCGCTTTACTCCAAGGTTGGTTTACATACAGAAAACCCAAGGTATTTGTCATTTCAGATGGCCTTGTGATTCTGGAAAGTTTTGGTGCCCTTATAAACATGGTAGTCGGAGAAGTAATCATAAAACCAGAATTGTTAGGCGTGAGTTTTCATTTTCTAGATGTCTCTGAGGAACTTCTACTGACTGAGTGCTGATTGGATAAAATGCTTCCAAGAGTCTTTAAGGCTCCTTTGGTTTTTTTCTCGAGGAATATTCTGGATCTCTCCAACAGAATTCTCATTTAATAGGTCATTTATAATATTTATGTTAACTAATCAGGATATTTTAAATGTAAAGCGTTAATCAGAAAGTTATCCGATACCCATGAAAATTTAAGTCATGGTTTATGGGTTGTAATTGAGTGGTTTAATGTTATTTTTGTGTAATTCAGTTACCCAGTTACTATGAATTTGGAATCTGTACTTTTTGACATTCACCAGTAAAGTTTATTATTATGAATACCAAGTGAAGTACACTATTTACTTTAAATGTTTAAATCTGAGTAATTGATATCTCAACAGAGTCGTTCATCAACTGTCTGTTTAAATGATAGTCTTAAGAACATATAAATCATGAATATGATGAACATTATTTAGTTATATTAACTCAATATCATCTTGTAACGAGTTTCAAATAGGACGAAACGCATGTCCTAGATTCCATCTATCTTTGTTGATCTTGTGAATGTTGTATCATTCAGTTTAAACTTAATATTTAACATCTCAACATTAGTATTGTATGAAGACCTAGATAGTCTAACAACAATCACTCAGTCTTTAGACTACTGAGACAGTAGTCTATATTTCACATGTCTAATATAAATCAATAGAGAATATTAGACAATCAACTTACATTGTCACGGGCAGTTAACTGTCTCACTTTTGGAACTATCAAAATGTGTCCAACAAATTATCTACTTCTCATTTCCTATAATTTAATCATTCAATTATTAACTTTTAATCAGTTTAAATTCTTTCCTATAATAAACAAACATAGAAGAGTGTCAAAAAAAAAGAGGATAAAACATACATCCTGGATTGCATCGCTGACCGCTAACCACACATCTAAGTACAGTTTTTAACCCTAAGTAACAAGGAAGTGAGGTATTTAATTCACTCATAAGTTGATCAGTTTACTGATTTATTGAATTTGATCGATAATCAATATGACCGTAATTTTAATGTTTGAAATTTGGGAGAAAAAAAAAACAATCATGAAAATCGAATGGAGTGAAATCAGTGTCAATTTTTCTTTTCTAAATAACGAGTTAGAAACACAATAGTAACTAAGTCACAATTTTTATGACATGAAATGCACAGAATACTAATAATGATACTCACTTTTGGTAACTTCAAATCTTTTATATCCCATAAATGTTGTTGAATAGTTAGACTGGAATTTTCTTTGGATTCATTAATTATATCATTATTATTATTATTATTATTGTTGTTATGGCCTATATTGGAACTGTTATCATTTCCTTTCACTTCATTACATGTTACCAAGGTATATTGATCAATTTGATTAAAATGAATTAATGAATTTGGTGTTGAACTTACTAAATAATTCGTATCAGTATTGATTATTGGAAAATAATCAATAATTCGATCAATATGATTTGTATTATTTCTTTCATGATTGATAGAATAATTATCATAATTAATTTTAGGTAATTTTTGTAAATCTATTTCATATTGTTCATTATTATGATAAGTAATTTGTGGTAAATTATATTCAGATTTATGTAAATGATCATGTTGATTATGATTATTATTATTATCATAGAAATATGTTGAGTATAATTCGTTATTGTAAATATGATTGAGATTATTATCATGATGTGTTAATCTTCTAACAGATTCAATTGATGGTAAATGTATTTGATTTGTATTGGGGAAATCATTTAAACATTTATTCTGTTCAAGATCACCCTGATATGTATGATACAATTTAGTTGAATATGCGGGTTTGTACAAATTTGTATGATTATTAGTAGTAGTGATAGTAGTATTCAATACATTATTGTTAATAGTTGACAAAGTAGTTGGATTAATGATATTAATAGATGAATTATTCAAAATTGTCTGATCTATATATGCGGGTAGATTGGAATTCCATTGTGGAGTTAATGTACTACTGACATTATTACCATTATGATTATTATTATTATTCAAATGAATATCATAATTTGCCCAATTCCAAGTTTCAGACATGTTTAATTGTTTTTCTGATGAAAATTTCTTAGAGTCCAGCATTTTTATTACTTCAACTATTTAAGAGGACGAAGAGCAAGAAAATGAAGAAGAAGAAGAAGAAAAAACAAACGAAAAATTCTAATGATTTTAATCAAATATTAAAAATAAATGTGTATTACACTATTGAGAATTAGTGATTAAATGCGGGTTTTGTGTAAAATAATAAAAACAAACAAACAAACAAACAAAAAGAACAAAAACAAAAACGAAAAACTTTCGGACAAAATAAACCAATCAGAAAATGAATAATATGAATTTGGAAAATTATGAAATTCTATGAATTTGATTGGTTAGAAATGTTATGTCTATTTTTCATAATTATGATTGGATAATTTATGATCGGCCGTATCCTAAGATTAACCAATTAGGTTTTTCCATTGTTTTAGTGATATTAAATGAATTTGAATAATCAAATTGATATTGATATTGATATTAAGATCATGAGTCAATTGAAGCTAGACTATCATGGAAATACCTGGAAGCATTGAAAGGCCGTTTAGTCCTATTGTGGGACTTCCCCGCAGTGCGAAATTAAGTAACACATCCATTAATGTCATCAGTAAGTTACCATTTAATAACAGACCTGGTTGAACTTCACTGGTCACTGCTTTACATTAGAATTCCAGAATATACATCTTGAAGCCAGTCACTAGTGAGCATATGTTGATTAGTATCAGAAAGGCTTTTGTGAAGATTTTAGTAACCTTAATATTTGAGATCATGAGTCAATTGAAACTAGTCGTGGATGCGCACTGCTGAGGAGTCGCATAATAGAATAAAACGGTCGTCCAGTGTTTCCAGGTTTTCCATGGTGGTCTAGCTTCAAGTGACTCATGATTTCAACTGTTGAAATTACTAATATCTCCACAAAACCCCTTCTGATACTAAACATTGTTATGTATATTTCCAATATTGAGTTGTTAATAATTATCAGTTATACAGCTTCAAACTAATCATTGATCTATTCAAATATATGTTAAGACAAAGGCATGCATTACACATTAACCTTAAGCTAAGAAGAAATGAATACTGTTATATCGTAGTGAAGAATAAATTACGGGTAACCTCTGAGATCTATTAATGGGCTAACATTTTTATTGTATAACCGTTCAGTTACTAGATTATGTATATCTATACTCCTCTTATTATAAGCTTCATTTTGACCCACAGGTAGTTAGTCTTGAACTTGACCCTCATCTGTTTTGGTAACCAAGATATTTGTTATACCCTAGTGAAGATTAAATTACAAGTAACTTCTTCGATCTATTAATGGACTAGTACATATATATATATACAGTATAACTGATCAGTAACTAGATTGTGTATATCTGTATTCCTCTTATTATAAGATTTATTTTGACCTATAGATCATTATTATTATTATAATACGACGTACTGTTCTTAAGTTGTATCCAGTTTATTGATTCCAGTCTCCCACGTTCACAGCCACTTTTTGGCCTGATCTTGTATAAGTGTAATTTTCTATTTTATGGTGTAATGTGAACTGTTTGGCTGGTATATAAACCAAGTATGCTTGAAATAAATGATTCACATAGTGGGAGCTGTTAATGGTAGTCTGGAATCAACTGGACGGGATAAGCGAACAAAAGATCAATAAGGACGCTAGGCTGATCAGCCAGGTCGGACGTCATTGTTTTAGTACAGTACAAGAGTGAATATGTCGTATTTGGATTGGCGAATAAATTACGTGATGACTAGCTGGACTTAAAGTCACATAACATGCTTGTATCCTCCAATTCTAAAATGCTATTTTATTATACCCGGTATTATTTTGCTACCACGGTTTTCGTAATTCAAACTACTGATGAGAAATAGTTTTTAGAAACAATATCTTCTTGGTAATACACTTAATCATCTCCATAACGGACTAACACATAACTCTGATAACTTAGTTTATTCAAGTTTGTACAGACAACTGATTTACAATGTTATTAATGAACCTCCTGAATTATTTTACTTCATTTAAGATCATACGGACTAGAATGATCAAAGTACCTCATTAAATTTCATTTCGCTAAAGATAAAACAGTGATGTAACTGTTTTCAGACTGTCATCATGATTTTTTATGTTAACTTTGTTTACAAAATGGACTGTTATTAATGTAAAAGGTTTGTGATGATGTTTAGATTTCAAAGTTTACATCAAGAACTATTTCTTATTAGATAATCATTGAAAATCAGGAAACACTGGACTGATGTTATATTCTCGCATGGGACCACTTCACAGCATATCATCACAATCCCACCAGAGACCAAGCTCAAGACATTTGAATTTTTGTACTGAGTACCCCAACTTTACATCACTTAGTTGCCGTTCAATAGTTCGCATATTTAACTTCAGTCCACTTCTTCTAAGTACTATACCAAGAAGAATCAGTTGTTCAATACTTAGTGGATTTCAATAACAATGTAATTTATTCTCCACTTACAAAAACCATTCTTCGCTCCTTGTTTCTTTCATTTTACACTAGACTACTTATAAATACTTAGTAATTCAAGATTTTCCACTACTTTTTATCATCTTCATAATGTAATATATGATTTTGTCGTTTCAAGAGACTCATTACTGTATTTGCTCGCAACTTAATCACAACCTTTTACAATATTCTTCAAGTTGTAATAGTATATCTCACCTTGTTCGTTATGAGATCTTTCCAGGTGTATATGACTTTTTAAAATCATATTCATTCCATGTGAACTGACTAGTTTTAAAACATGATATACTGTTGACTTTAACAATATTCCTATTGGAATACATCCATTATCTGTTTTATGGTTCAAAGTAAGTACTATAATTGTACCTTCATTCAATTGTCTAGAGATCACTATATTTCTTAGACTATGTTTTGTATCTATGGGGAATTAACCTCATTGTATTATTGCACAATACTTCCAAATTCATAATTGTTGTTTGGATAACTTCTGTTAAGATGAAAATGATATCCAGATTTAAAATAACTTCTCACTTGTAATTTATTTCGTAATTATCAAGAATTATGTGTTATGACAAACTCGCACGACGGAATAGAAACCAGGCGGATGTGATAGATTTGTAATGATATTACAAAAGGTGGACTTATTCATTTCCTTATTAATATCCATTCAAACAAAATGATAGTGGTGATAAATAACAAACAAATGTATAAGTATGTTCAAACTATTATGATAGTATAAAATTTAGACCAAGTCAGATATGATCGCTATTGAATACTAGCTCAGTCGTCTAAGGGTGATATGTTTGTACGTGAGACTGTGTAGCGTGGCGTCGAGTCGAGATTGACTATGTACACCGCTACCAAAATACACGTGCCAAGAATATCAGAAGGCGTAGGTTGAGCGTAACCAGATTTATTCGTTTGGCGATCTCGTGGTATCGAATGAATACCGAGATCGTGCCAAGAACGGTACAAGCGGAAGCAGGAGTACAGAATACGTGCGAACAACAGCAAAAAACGCGAAACAATAATGGAAGGTAATGGAAGCACAAAATGGCTATAATTAGCACAGTTAAACAAAAGCACATTAAAACAAACACTGGTACAACTGTTTATAATAATAATTGTTTTTATTGAACCAGTCGTGTTCTCGTAATAAACGTGAGTCACTACAACTGAATGCCATTAGTTTAGTTCCCAATTATAAGGCCATAAGTGACTACTGCTACCGAGGAGCTCTATATCAAGACCAAACAGTCATTCAGTGCTTCCAGCTAATCAATGGTTGTTTAATTTATATCGGTTCGAAATCTCACTACAATAACTAAGGTTAATATTTTGTCTATATAAAATAGCGAAGTGTTCATGCATTTAAAGGTGGTATAAAGTTAACAATAATGGTCACCATGGAAAATCAGTTGAAACTGAATAGTTGTTATTATTATTATTAATTAAATTGATCATTAGCTAACATGATGACAGGAGTATCATTTAAATAAATGGTAGTTTAGGTAGTATAAACTCACAGAAATTCACCTGACAATTTAAATTTGGACATTTCAAGCACCATAATCAAGTAAACTTTATTTTACTGAATTAATATGGAATAATTAATATTTTTAAAACTTAATTGGTTCATGATATATAAGGATAGAATCATTTGAATTGAAATGATAAAGAAAATTTACAGTTTAAGTAGATGCATTTGATGGTAATACTTTGTCCTCTAAACTTAAAAAAGAAGTGAAGGAAAAACAATGAAGATCAAACAGAATACTGAGATGGAAATAAGAAGCAAAAATCAAAAGGATGAATAGCAACTGGGAACAACTGAAGAGGATTGTTCAGGATAGAGTATGATAGAGAATGCTGATGTACTGTCTGTGCCGCTCCAAGACGGGTAAAGGGTGTAAGTGAGTAAGTAAGTAAGTAAGTAAGTAAGTAAGTAAGTAAGTAAGTAAGTAAGTAAGTAAGTAAGTAAGTAAGTAAGTAAGTAAGTAAGTAAGTAAGTAAATAAGTAAGTAAGTAAGTAATTATATAAGTTCAACATGTGCATAACTCTTAGTATGTTTACTAGGGATGTTTCTGGACCTTACGAAACACTGAAGCGATCTATTCTTAAACGCGGAGACCTAACCGATAGACAAAAATTGGATCGACTCTTCAATAACATCGACCTGCAACACGGTTCTGCGACAGACATGTTGCGAAGAATGAAAGAGGTTATCGGCCGAAAAACTTCGATGATGGCCTATTTAAACGACTTTTCTTATCCAAACGTCCTCAGGTGCAAGCTGTGCTGGTCTCGTTTCAAAACAACGCCTTGGACGAGCTGGCTGTGTCTGCCGACCGCATCCTTGAGATCAAGAAATCTAATGCCGAGTTTTTTTCAGTCTAAGTAAAGCCTCAAACGACCCAGAATGACATTACAGAGTTATGCCATGCACTTACATGTTATTTTAAGTTTCGTAACGACCGTAAAAGGTCACACACTACGCGAAGAACCACTTCACGTAGACGCTCTTTCTCTAGACCACAATAGAC